GGGACCCCAAAAGGAGACCCTTAAAAATGGGAATCCCAAAAAGGGGACCTCAAATGGGGACCCCAAAAAGTGAAGACCCAAAAATGGGACCCTAAATGGAACCCCCCCAAAATGGGAACCCCAAAATAGAGACTCACAAATGGGACCCTAAAATGAGACCCCTATAAATGGGAACCCTCCAAAGTGGGACCCCAAATAGGAACCCCAAAATAGGACCCTAAAACGGGACCCCTATAAAAGGAAACCACCTAAAGTGGGATCCTAAATGGGAACCCCAAAATGGAGATCCTAAAGTGGGACCCTAAATGGAAACCCCATAAATGGGAACACCCAAACGCAACCCCCTAAAGTGGGATCCTAAATGGGAACCCCAAAATGGGACCCTAAAATGGAACCCCCTAAAATGGGAACCCCAAAAAAAGAGATCCTAAATGGGAACCCCAAAATGGGAACTCCCTAAAGTGCGACCCTAATAGGGAACCCCAGAATACAGACCCTAAAGTGAGACCCTAATAGGGAACGCCCCAAAATCGGGACCCCCAAAATAGAGACCCTAAATGGGAACCCCCAAATGGGACCCTAAAATGGAACCCCAAAATAGAGACCCTAAATGGGAATCCCAAAATCAGACCCTAAAGTTGAACTCCCCAAAATCGGGCCCCCAAAATAGAGACCCTAAAATGGGACCCTAAACGGAAACCTCAAAATAGAGACCCTAAAGTGGGAACCCCCAAATGGGACCCTAAAATGGAACCCCCCAAAATGGGAATCCCTCAAAGTGGGACCCTAAATGGGAACCCCAAAATGGGACCCTAAAATGGAACCCCAAAATAGAGACCCTAAAATAGGGACCCTAAATGGGAACCCCAAAATAGGGACCCTAAATGGGAAGCCCCAAAATGGGACCCTAAAATGGAACCCCCCAAAATGGGAACCCCTCAAAGTGGGACCCTAAATGGGAACCCCAAATAGAGACCCTAAAATGGAACCCCAAAATAGAGACCCTAAATGGGAACCCCGAAATGGGACCCTAAATGGAAACCCCAAAATGGGAAACCCCAAAAATGGAACCCTAAATAGGAACCCCAAAATAGAGACTCACAAATGGGACCCTAAATGGGATCCCCATAAATGGGAACCCCCAAACGCAACCCCCTAAAGTGGGACCCTAAATGGGAACTCCCAAAACGGGACCCTAAAATGGAACCCCCCAAAATGGGAACCCCAAAATAGAGACCCTAAATTGGAACCCCCAAAACAGAGACCCCAAATGGAAACCCCAAAATAGAGACCCTAAATGGGATCCTAAATCGTAACCACCCAAAATGGGGAACCCCCAAAGTTGAGAACCTAAATGGGAACCCTAAAATGGGACCCTAAAATTGGACCCTAAAATGGGACCCCCCCAAAATCGGATCCCCAAGATGGGATCCTAAATGGGAACCCAAAATAGGGACCCTAAATGGGAACCCCAAAACCAGAACCCCAAAATGGGATCCTAAATGGAAACCCCAAATGGGAACCCCAAAATAGAGACCCTAAATGGGAACCCCCCAAAATGGGGAACCCCCAAAGTTGAGACCCTAAATGGGAACCCTAAAATGGGACCCTAAAATTGACCCTAAAATGGAACCCCCCAAAATCGGAACCCCAAAATAGGGACCCTAAATGGGAACCCCAAAATCAGAACCCCAAAATGGGCTCCTAGATGGAAACCCCAAATGGGAACCCCAAAAAATAGAGACCCTAAAATGGGAACCCCAAAATAGGGACCCTAACAGGGACTGTGTGGAAGCAGAGCAGCGGCCAGGAGCTGAGGGTGAAATTAACGCCTTTGTTAATTAGTGCTTAATGAAGGCAGCAGCGGGCGGCGGCGCAACGCAGCGCAGCGCAGCGGGACGGCGGCTCCTTAATGGCGTTCAGCCAAAGGAAAGGACTCACTGCAGTGGGGCACAGCTATGGGGCAGCCTATGGGGCAGAGCTATATGGGGCAATCTATGAGACAACTTATGGGGCACAGCTATGGGGCAATCTATGGGGCACTGCTACAGGGCAGTCTATGGGGCAATCTGTGGGGCAGAACTATGGGGCAATCTATGGGGCAGAGCTATGGGGCAGAGCTATGGGGCAGTCTATCGGGCAGAGCTATGGGGCAGAGCTATATGGGGCAATCTATGAGACAACTTATGGGGCACAGCTATGGGGCAATCTATGGGGCAGAGCTATAGGGCAGATCTGTGGGGCAGAGCTATGGGGCAATCTGTGGAGAAGTGCTATGGGGCAGAGCTATGGCACAGAGCTATGGGGCAATCTATGGGGTACTACTACAGGGCAGTCTATGGGGCAATCTATGGGGCAGAGCTATGGGGCAATCTATGGCGCAATCTATAGGGCAGTCTATAGGGCAGCCTATGGGGCAGAGATAAGGGGCAATCTATGGGGCGAGCTATGGGGCAGAGCTATGGGACAATCTATGGGACACAGCTATAGGGCAATCTGTGGGGCAATCTGTGGGGCACAGCTATAGGGCAATCTGTGGGGCAGTCTATAGGGCTGTAATAATGGGCCAATCTAAGGGAAGAGCTATGAGGCAATTAATGGGGCAACCCATGGGGCTGTATCTATGGGGCAGAGCTGTGGGGCAATTTATGGGACAGAGCTATAGTGCTGTATCTATGGGGCAATCTATGGGGCAGAGCTATAGGGCTGTATAGTTCCACAGCTGCACCCCATTCCTGTCTGACCCCATATGGAGCCCCACAGCTCCGCCCCATTCATGTCTGACCCCTTTTGGAGCCCCACAGCTCTGCCCCATTCCTGTCTGACCCCACAGCTGTGCCCCATAGCACATGGTCAGGAAATCCCTTTAGGACCACCAAATCCATCCACCACTGATGTCACCCACCCAAACCATGTCCCTAAGTGGGATCATGGGACCTTTAGGGTCAGGAAATCCCTTTAGGACCACCAAGACCACACACACCAGCATCACCCACCAAACCACGTCCCTGAATGGGATCAGGGAACCTTTAGGGTTGGGAAATCCCTTTAGGACCACCAAATCCCTCCACCACCAAGGTCACCCACCAAACCACGTTCCTAAATGGGATCATGGAACCTTTAGGGTCAGGAAATCCTTCTGGGACCACCAAGACCATCCATCCCCACCATGGCCACCGACCATCACCCTAAATAGGGCCATGGGATCATTAGGGTCCAAAATCCCTTTAGGTCCACCAAATCCATCCACCATTGATGCCGCCCACCAAACCACATCCCTAAATGGGATCATGGAACCTTTAGGGTCAGGAAATCCCTCTGGGACCACCAAGTCCATCCATCCCCACCATCACCCACCAAACCACATCCCTAAATTGGATCACGGAACCTTTAGGGTCAGGAAATCCCTTTAGGACCACCAAATCCATCCACCACCAGCATCACCCACCAAACCACGTCCCTAAATGGGATCATGGAACCTTTAGGGTCCAAAATCCCTTTAGGACCACCGAATCCAACCACGACCCCCACCAAACCAACCCCCACGTTCTCAGCTGTGACTGGACCAGGGGACTGGACTCGGATCGCTGCTGCTCACACGCGCGTACGGACACACGGAAACGCGTACAGACACACGGACTCGTAGGGACGTATGGAAACATTTGTCGCGCTCTTGGAGGACCGTGGCGCTCCGTCCAGCAGGGGGCGCTGCTCGGAGCGCGGGGCTGCGGGGCGGGGCGGTGTCACTGAGGGACCGGGCCGGTTCGGTGTCGCTGCGGTTCGGTGTCGCTGCGGTTCGGTGTCGCTGCGGTTCGGTGTCGCTGCGGGGAGGCTCGGTGTTGCTGCGCTGCCGGGGCGGTTCGGTGTCACTGCGGGGCGGTTCGGTGTCACTGCGGGGCGGTTCGGCGTCACTGCGGGGCGGTTCGGTGTCACTGCGGGGCGGTTCGGCGTCACTGCGGGACCGGGGCGGTTCGGTGTCGCTGCGGTTCGGTGTCGCTGCGGTGCCGAGCCGGTTCGGTGTCGCTGCGGGACGGTTCGGCGTCACTGCGGGGCGGTTCGGTGTCGCTGCGGGGCGGTTCGGTGTTGCTGCGCTGCCGGGGCGGTTCGGTGTCACTGCGGGACCGGGGCGGTTCGGTGTTGCTGCGGTGCCAGGGTGGTTCGGTGTCGCTGAGGGGCGGTTCAGTGTCGCTGTGGTCCGATTCGGTGTCACTGCGGTTCGGTGTCACTGTGGTTCGGTGTCACTGCGGTGCGGTGTCATTGCAGGGCGGTGCGGTGTCACTGCGGTTCGGTGTCACTGCGGTGCCGAGCCGGTTCGGTGTCACTGCGGGACCGGGGCAGTTCGGTGTCGCTGTGGTCCGGTTCGGTGTCACTGCAGTTCGATGTCGCTGCGGTTCGGTGTCGCTGCAGACTGGGGCGGTTCGGTGTTGCTGTGGTCCGATTCGGTGTCACTGCGGTTCGGTGTCGCTGTGGTTCGGTGTCGCTGTGGTGCTGGGGCGCTTCGGTGTCGCTGAGGGACCGGACCGGTTCGGTGTCGCTACGGGACTGGGCCGGTTCGGTGTCGCTGCGGGACCGGGTCAGTTCGATGCCGCTGCGGGACCGGACCGGTTCGGTGTTGCTGAGGGGCGGTTCGGTGTCGCTGCAGGACCGGACCGGTTTGGTGTCGCTGAGGGGTGGTGCAGTGTCACTGCGGTGCCAGGCCGGTTCGGTGTCACTGCGGGACCGGACCG